CCGAGATGTTAACACCTACTTCAGACAGGCAAAATAATATTCGATTTAAGGTTTAAATTAAACTGTGTGCAGGATGTTATCAGACCATCGCTTGTCAAATGAAATTGGAACCGTGACAGATTACCATAAAATATGTAGAGACCGTGATCAAGCTAAACTTTTAACACTGACCCAACAAAACAGTATAGGATTGTATTTGACACGCCCGTTTAACTCACAACGAGTGAAAAATGTCCATCGGTAAAAATGTTGTGAGCAACTTCCGTTCCTCGTTGTGAGCACCCATCTATGACGTGTGACACGATAAACAAGGTGAGTTTTTCATAATTTTTGAAGATTACAGACATTTATGTAAAAATATCGGAATGCAGTTAGCTAGCGGTGTGTTTTCCGAGTATGCAAATGTAAAGATATTGCCTGTTGGTGGACAATTTGATGGAAATACCGTGCGACGCAGTCACTCGGGGTAGCTGGAAAACTGGAGACAACTTCTCTTTGGACCTAATTTAACATTGAAAACGTCGATTCTGGTGACGTTTTGTGCATTCTAACCTAAAACAGATGCCCACAAGTCTTCAGCGTAAATTATTATCTGAAAGTCTTCGTAGAAACGAAGATATACTCTTTTTTGCTTTAATCCTCGTTGTGAGCACCATATCCTCGTTGTGAGCAAGACAAGCGCAGTGCTTGTCTGGTTTTAATATGTAATTCAAATGGCAAGAATACAATTTTCAATCTACCAAAAGCAATCAAAAAGTTTTTGTACATTAGTTTTTCTTTGCAATAGTTCTTCTTTTTCTTTTATTGAAAATTATTCTTCATATTCACAAGTCATCAGATTAACAGAAGAACTAATCAGTGGAGGTAAATCAGGTATTTTATTTCGTATACTCTAGTGTGGCACGAGTGAACAGCACGGGGTGTTTATGAATATTTCAACAATTTCACAATCTGTGTGATACACACATACATATGTCTATCCTGAGCTGAAGACTGGCCAAGTTATGTAAAACAAGAACTGTCACGGTAAGTTGACAATGCACCTGAAGTGTAGCTTTGTCCTTTGATTTATGGACCAGATAGATTATTTGTTTTTGGACAATTAGATCTTCAATGTGAAGGTAATTCAAGGTCAAGGTGAAATAAATATAGGTCAGTTGGAAGGTCTTGTCCAAAGGGGCATTGTGTCCAAATATGAATTAATTCCACTTACTTATAAAGAAGTTATGACCAAAAAATACAGATCAGTTTGAAGGTCTTTGTCTAAAGGGGTGTTGTTTCAAAATATGAGTAGAATCCGTATACTAATAAGGAAGTTATGACCAATTTTTAAGTTTTTGGACAATTTGACCTTTAAGGTGAAGGTCATTCAGGGGTCAAGGTCAAAAGAATATAGGATAGTTGAAAGGCATTGTCCAAAGATGTGTTGTGCCTAAACATTATGCCAGGACATTATGGCCCATCTTAAATGTTTTTGGACAATTTGACCTTCAAGGTAAAGGCCATTCAGGGGTCAAGGTAAAAAATGCAGGTCCGTAGGAAGGTGCTAAGGGATGTTGTGTTCAAATATGAATCAAATCCGTTTACAAATAAGGAAATTATGGCCAATGTTAAAGTTTTCGGACAGATTGACGGACTGACAGACGGATAGTTCAAAACTAATATGCCTCCCTTTGGGGTATGCACAACGTCTTGAAAAGAAATGCTGCTGTGCAAAAACGTTTTAATTGCTGTGGTAGATTGAAATTATATTTTCACCATCTGAATTACATATTAAAACCATACACGCACTGCGCTTGTCTTGCTCACAACGAGGTTATGGTGCTCACAACGAGGATTAAAGCAAAAAATGGTATATCTTCGTTTCTATGAAGACTTTCAGATAATAATTTACGCTGAAGACTTGTGGGCATCTGATTTAGGTTAGAATGCACAAAACGTCACCAGAATCGACGTTTTCAATGTAAAATTAGGTCCAAAGAGAAGTTGTCTCCAGTTTTCCAGCTACCCCGAGTGACTGCGTCGCACGGTATTTCCATCAAATTGTCCACCAACAGGCAATATCTTTACATATGCATACTCGGAAAACACATCGCTAGCTAACTGCATTTCGATATTTTTACATAAATGTCTGTAATCTTCAAAAATTATGAAAAACTCACCTTGTTTATCGTGTCACACGTCAAAGATGGGTGCTCACAACGAGGAACGGAAGTTTCTCACAACATTTTTACCGATGGACATTTTTCACTCGTTGTGAGTTAAACGGGCGTGTTTGATAAGAGAGTGAGAGATAGTTGTGTGTCTTTTCTATATGGCTATTGAAAAGTTATTGTATCATTACTGTTATCAAAATGTAATAAAATATGAATACTTTATTAGTTTGTTGCCTTTATTACTTTGTTAATTAAAATATGATTTATCATAAAAAATGACCTCTCCAGACAACCATATCATCTTAAAAATTGACTGCTCCCAAAAAGCAAAATCCAAGATGGCTGCTTTATATAGACAAAGAAGGATTAAAGTGGTCTAGAGTGACGTCCTCCACTACTCATATTTTTTCTGAATTAAATATACCATTTAGTAACCCGGATATAATTAAGCTTGTATAAACTTAAACTCTGGGAAATCAGCAGGTCCTGACTACTTATTAAATGATTTTTTTAAATACGGTTCTTGTTCAACTCATTTTTATTAATTTTGTTAATATTCTAAATAATCTTTTTAATAAAATAGTTGATTAAGGTTACTTTCCGGTACAATGGACCGAAGGCTTTATAGTCCCGCTTCATAAAACGGGTGACATTAATGACCTAAGTGACTATAGAGGAATAATTTTACTAAGTTCTTTTGGACAAAAAATTTAAATGATAATCTATTAGATTGAATACTTGGGCAGAAAAATATCAAGTCTTTATTGAAGCTCAGTCTGGTTTTAGACTGTAGATAACATTTTTGTTTTGCATGGCCTTATCTGTTGAATAACAATAAGAAACTATATGCTGCGTTTGTTGATTTTACTAAAGCTTATGACTATTAAGTAACAGATATTATATGTTTAAATTAACTAAATATGGTGTAAGAGGTAAAATGTTAGACGTTATTAAATTAATGTACGAAAGTGTAAGGTCCAGAATAAAATATCAAAATGATTTTGAGTCCACAAGGAGAGTCTTTATCACCTTTTTTGTTCGCCATGTATCTTAATGACATAGAAGAATATTTTATTATGAATGAATTTGAAGGAGTTAATTTAGGTTTCTTAAAATTGTTTTTACTTTTATATGCAGATGATATCGTTATTCTATCTGAAAAGGAAAGAGGCTTACATAAAGGTTTATTGTTATTGGAGAATTATTGTGATAAGTGGAGACTAACTGTTAATATTAAGATATTAATATTAAGATATAAAATATTCTGATTTTCATTTGTATATAAAGGAGAACATTTAGAAATTGCCGAAAAATTTACTTATTTAGAAGTCTTTACAACTGGTGGACCTTTTAATACTTGTTTTGAAACACTTTCTGGTCAGACTTTGAAGGCATAATTTAAATTACATTTGATTAAATTCCAATGTATAACTGTGAAACATTAGCTAGACTTTTTTGATAAATTGATCCCAGCAATTTTGAACTATGCTTTAGAGGTAAGCGGTATATATGACTGTTGTAAATTAGAAAAAGTGCATTTAAATTTTTGTAAAAAATGTTAGGCTCAGAACAATTTTATTTACGGAGAACTAGGTAGAACAAATTTGAAATGCAGAAGAATTGTAAGTGTAATAAAATACTGGCTTAAAATTATACAGCTTGAAGATATAAAATATGTTAAAATGGTTTATGATTTATTATACTGTGAGTTACATGTGTTAGAGATTTATTACAGTCACTTGGTTTTAATGATGTATTGTTATCTTAAGGTGTAGGCAATGAAGATGTATTTATTAGTTTAGGAAAACAAAGAGTAAATGATGTTTTTATCCAAAATTGGTTTTCAGAAATATTGAAAAATTTTAATATTGAAAAAATTAGAATTGCACTGTCCCGTCTTAGAGTTTCTTCACATAGATTCGAGATTTAAACTGGAAGGTGGAATAAACCTAGTTCTATACCTTTTAATGATACGAAATTTAAAAATTGTTTTATTTTAGAAGATGAATTTCACTTTATTTTAGAATGTTCGCAATATAATGAATTACGAAAAATATATATAAAAAAAAAACACTTTTGGAACTGAAATTTGTTGCATTGATGAATTCAGAAAATGAAATAGAAATTTGAAACTTATTATTAATGTATATATAAATAAAGCTTTCGATGTTCGAAACACTATTCTTTACAGTTCCAAACGCTGTATCACTCTTTCTTATATACACGCACTTTTGTTTTGTTTTGTGGTTTACTTCCTTATTAATAGGATGGTATCTGTCCTTTGTATTTGTTTACCAGTAATGTAATTTGAGACATGATGATACTTGTGTCACTAACTGATAGTATATTCTATTATCAGTTAACGTTTTCTGATACTTGTGTCACTAACTGATAGTATATTCTATTATCAGTTAACGTTTTCTGATACTTGTGTCACTAACTGATAGTATATTCTATTATCAGTTAACGTTTTCTGATACTTGTGTCACTAAGTGATAATATATTCTATTATCAGATAACGTTTTCTGATACTTGTGTCACTAACTGATAGTATATTTTATTATCAGTTAACGTTTTCTGATACTTGTGTCACTAACTGATAGTATATTCTATTATCAGTTAACGTTTTCTGATACTTGTGTCACTAACTGATAGTATATTCTATTATCAGTTAACGTTTTCTGATACTTGTGTCACTAACTGATAGTATATTCTATTATCAGTTAACGTTTTCTGATACTTGTGTCACTAACTGATAGTATATTCTATTATCAGTTAACGTTTTCTGATACTTGTGTCACTAACTGATAGTATATTCTATTATCAGTTAACGTTTTCTGATACTTGTGTCACTAACTGATAGTAAATTCTATTATCAGTTAACGCTTTCTGATTGCTAAAAATACTGTGTAACTTAATGATATATATTTTATAAAGTATTGACATTGACAATTTAATTGTATTGTATGCTTATTTGGTACGCATGGGCATATTGCCCGGATGTACTTTGAAATAAACTCTTGAAACTCTATAAAATCAACATATTTGTTTCCAACCTTACAAAAAATGAAAGATTATAGTCTCTCAACCTTGACATTCCCAAACAAATTCTGCGCCGTCTGTGCTTTGATTGTTCCTGGATAAGTTGAAAATATATAAATGTAAAGTGACCTTTGTGTCATTGTGTTCACTCATGTTACAAAGCCTTCAGTCAATGAATGGTAGCCTAGACGGTTTTAGGCACATAATGAATACCTATATACAATGTTATAATAAAAACCAAAATTATTCAGTTACTTTGTTGTATAAACGATTAATAAATGTTAAAATTGGTATAGTATTACGTACACATCACATTTTTATAGTCTTTCCTTTCACTTAAATCACTTGGTCATTATCTGAAGGGACCTGACAAAAATGTCTTTCCAAAAGAAGTTGCCATGCTTGCTGGAAATATTTCATCTTGGTAACAATATTGTCCTGCAGGCGGAGCTATATCCATGAAATTGGTACCGTAAGCTCCCATCTGTAATTGTGGCCCGACTGAAATACGTTGAAACTTCATTAACAAAGATTAAATAAATGAATTATGAGATTGTAGAATACATCACATTACGCTAAGCTACATTAAAGCATATTCAAAGATATAAACATTATTAGATGGAGAAAACAATGCGATAAGTATTTAATCAGATCATACCTTGAATATTTTCATGTGCACTTCTGTAGTATGACCTTGCTGAATCAAACCCTTGTCTATTTATAGTTTCCTGGTAAGCATTATTCCTAAGTAATGTTGTTTTATTCAAACTGTCATAAGTTGCGTTCAATTTATTGTAGTTATATGACTGGTAAGGATCTGATAATGTATGGTGTGATCGCCCATCTGTCCAATAATTACCACCAACTGGTGAAATATTTGATCCAAAATGTGTGGCCGGAAATCCTTGATTGTAAGTCTCAGAGTAGTTTGAAAATCTCGCATTAGTAAATGGGGGTGGGGGGTTGACTCCGACGTAATCTGTGTAGGATCCGATACCAAATTGAGGTAGGTATGTTGGTCGATCAAAAGTATTATTATAAGGCTGATAAGGTTTAACTGGGGGCACCGATATAGTTCCGGTCTGTATTCTTTGAGACGGGCTATTCTCAGACGAGGTTTCAGAATTCTGTATGTTTTTGCTGTTAGTAGGAAGTGGTCTTGTAAATGCCGTTCCGTTATTTAATTGATCATTGACAATAGTTGACAGCTCAGCAGTTGAGTGTAATCTAGTATTTGATGCTTGACTTGAATTATCTAAAATATTTGATGAACATTTATAAATTAATTATTATTGGCAATATTAAAACTCAAATTCTTATGGTTTGGTACATCTTTTAGTAGTAACTGTTATAAATGACTAGTGTTACAGCATTTAAACTTTATTTTTTCATGACCATGGATAAATTAAAAAAATAAAAACTAATAATTATGATGCTTATGATTGTTACCCTTTATGTTCATACGTTTAAAAAGTTATTATTTAATATGTCAAAACATTTAAAGAGCAGACAAGAAAATAAACGTTAACGGAAAATGTATTACTTTGTAAAAACAAATTTGTTTGAATTATAAAGTATCAGTATTTAGTTGTTTTGACATATTTCTACAGTAGTTATTAGCGGTGACATTCACCTAACAATTCTAGTTAGTTTAAGAGAGATAGAAGTATTGAGCAAAAACGTGTTTACCTTCCCATTCGATAATAATCTAATCACAAAAAATACAATGAAATTTTATAACTAAATAAACGTGAGAACTGACAGTTCGTAAGAATGAAACACCCATCTTGACAAAATAACAAGAAATATGACACCATAAAACTACCCTGATGTTCCATAGTTGAAGGTAAGTGTTGGATATGAAATTGAAAGAGAATCGAAACACCAGGCTTCCTGATTTGTACGGGGTGGGGTGGGGGGGGTGGAAGGACGTAGCCCCCTGTATAAATCAGATTGCTGAGTGTTTATCAAAGGCAAAAATAACACGAGGGCCATGATGGCCCTGAAATCCCTCACCTGAATATAGAAATTCTCCATGACAAGAAACAGGTAATATTGTAAACTTATGATAAAATCTAAATCTTAAACTGATGTCACAAAGTTCATATTTGTATCTGAAATAGTGCATGTGTAGAGCAGAACTGGTTGCTATTGCTAAGGGAAAACAATAGTTTTTTAAAGATGTACACATATAATGAAAATCAATGATCCTAGGGGGCGGGCAAATATAGACCGCAGGGCTTTTATTTGAACAAACTTGGTAGACACTCACTAGAAGATGTTTCATGCTTAATGTCTAAGCTCTAGCTCTTTGGGTTTTTTAAAAGAAGATTTTTTAAGTTTTTTACAATATTCATAAAAGGAAAATCAATACTCCCTTGGATGGGACCAATTTTGACCCCAGGGCTTCTATTTGAATAAACTTGGTGGACACCCATTAGAAGATTTTTCATGCTATATATCTAAGCTCTAGCTCTTTTTTTTAAAAGAAGAATTTTAATCTTTTACTATATATATATATAAGGAAAGTTAATAACTGCCAGGAACGGGGCTAATTTTGACCCCACAGCTTTAATTTGAAAAACTTGGTAGGCACCCATTAGAAGATTTTTCATACTTAATAACTAAGCTCTAGCCCCTTGGTTTTTTAAGAGAAGATTTTTAAGCTTTGCATTATAAATATAAAGAAAATCAATGACAGCCTCGAATGGGTCCAATTTTGACCCGACGGCTTTAATTTGAAAAACTTGGTAGACACCCATTAGAAGATTTTTCATGCTTAATAACTAAGCTCTGGCCCCTTGGTTTTCTAAGAGAAGATTTTTTAAGCTTTGCATTATAAATATAAAGAAAATCAATGACAGCCAGGAATTGGGCCAATTTTGACCCCATAGCTTTAATTTGAAAAACTTGGTAGGCACCCATTAGAAGATTTTTCATGCTTAATAACTAAGCTCTAGCCCCTTGGTTTTTTAAGAGAAGATTTTTTAAGTTTTGCATTATAAATATAATGAAAATCAATGACAGCCTGGAATGGGTCCAATTTTGACCCGACAGCTTTAATTTGAAGAACTTGGTGGACACCCATTAGAAGATTTTTCATGCTTAATAACTAAGCTCTAGCCCCTTGGTTTTTTAAGATAAGATTTTTTAAGCTTTGCATTATAAATATAAAGAAAATCAATGACAGCCAGGAATTGGTCCAATTTTGACCCGACAGCTTTAATTTGAAGAACTTGGTAGGCACCCATTAGAAGATTTTTCATGCTTAATAACTAAGCTCTAGCCCCTTGGTTTTTTAAGAGAAGATTTTTTAAGTTTTGCATTATAAATATATTGAAAATCAATGACAGCCTGCAATGGGTCCAATTTTGACCCGACAGCTTTAATTTGAAGAACTTGGTAGACACCTATTAGAAGATTTTTCATGCTTAATATCTAAGCTGTAGCTCTTTTGATTTTTCAATAGAAGATATTTCAAGATTTTAATATGTACATATAAGGAAAATCAATATACCCTCGGAGGACCAATTTTGACCCCAGGGGCTTTTATTTGAACGAACTTGGTAGGCCCCCATTAGAAGATTTTTCATACTTAATAACTAAGTTTTAGCCCCTTGGTTTTTTTTTAAAGAAGATTTTTTTAAGTTTTGCTACATAAATAATTATAAGGAAAATCAATTATCCCCGGTGCCCGTTCGTGCCTGAAATAATGCACGGAAGTGCACCTGAGGTCTTCCTCCACCAGTAAAGACCCCAGGGGCTTTTATTTGAACGAACTTGGTAGGCCCCCATTAGAAGATTTTTCATACTTAATAACTAAGTTTTAGCCCCTTGGTTTTTTTTTAAAGAAGATTTTTTTAAGTTTTGCTACATAAATAATTATAAGGAAAATCAATTATCCCCGGTGCCCGTTCGTGCCTGAAATAATGCACGGAAGTGCACCTGAGGTCTTCCTCCACCAGTAAAGCTGGAACGTCGCCATATGACCTATAATGTGTCGGTGTGACGTAAAACCCAATTCAATAAACAAAATGATACCCAGGGCGGGTCTAATTTTGACCCCAGAGTCAAAAAAAAATCTTCTTAAAAAAAACCCCAAATATTAGGAATATTAAGCATGAAAATTTTCTTGTGAGTGTCTACCAATTTTGTATAAATAATAATAATAATAAAGATATTATTATTATTATTTATACAAAATTGGTAGACACTCACATTAAAATTTTCATGCTTAATATTCCTAATATTTTGGTTTTCTTTAAGAAGATTTTTTTACTATATACATATAAGGAAAATCAATGGCCCCTTTCCCCAGGGACTTTTCTTTGAACAAACTTGGTAGACATTCACTAGGAAATGTTTCATGCCAAATATCTAAGCTCTAGCTCTTTTGTTGTTTTTTTTAAAGTATATTTTTTAAGTTTTTTTTCTTTCGGTTGCCATGACAACCAGAGTTCAGCATGGAATTAAATTCTTCGAACAATTTTAAAGGTGACTTCCAAAGGAACATTCTTGTGAAGTTTGGATGATATTGGCTTAGCGGTTTATGATGAGATGTAGTTTAAAGTAAAAACTTTCGGACGGACGACGGAAAAAAGTAACCAAATGAACGAGCATCTGAATATGATATTTCTATCGCTATTCCTTCCATTGCCGTCACAATGAGTAAACACCAGGGAAAAAAAATGAGCAAATCAATGGGCATGCTCTGGAGCGCGGGTAACTAAAACTTAAACTCCAGTTAACGCACTGTGCATGTACATGTATATGTATACTATTTAACATTTTCAACAGAAAGGTCCCCAAACTATGATACAAAGAGACAATAGTGTTTCAATAGGAGTATTTTATTTGACTCGAATGGGCTAGTAAAATTCGTAAGTGACAAATACATTTTTATAAGATTTTATGTACTCATTATGTAACCCATCCATAATTTTAGTATATGTTCTCATAAAACTACGATGTAATGATATTACGTCAGTAACGTCATTCTGGATCACATAAAGTCATATACAATATAGATTAAAATAATGTCTGGTCGTATTTGTTGGTGTAATACTTGCAGTAAATACAATGTACAATAGAAATTAACAAATAAAAACGTAAATACCCTGATCTATCTCGTCAAAACAACGTTTTTTCTTGCATTTTGGCGATTGTGTTCCCTTATTTGAAGCATTACGGACGACTGCCTTTGTCTGTATTTCCTCTATAACATAAAGTTTACATTGCATTTTATGTGAAAATACTGAAAACAAGGCCTGCTACCAAAAAAAGTCTGACACATGTATAGCTTAATCAAATGGCAATAGTTAACTTTTAAAAGCTGAAGTTGATAAAACAGTATATACATTGTAACAAAAAAGTCAATTTGTATCATTTGTTTTAGTACTAACTATAATGTATGTAATATTGATCTATCACAGGATAAATTAATTTTCAACCATGTAAATCTCGAAACAATATGAAAGATTCTTGAATAGATTTAATGAATCAGTTACCCTAAAAGATGAAAATTGTCACACTGTGATATGAAAGTAAGAAGTAGGCGACCATGTCAACTGACATACTAACCGGCGTTTTTCATATGACGTTGTACGGCAGTTTGAAGCAGTTTCTCCACTTCTGCTTCTTGCTGTGTCTCTATCACTAGGAATGCATACTCATCTAACATCAGATGTACCAAATGTATGGAGGCTATATTAATATAATACCAAAATATTATGCAATAAAAACTCAATGTGGTGTTTAACACGATTCAACTAAAAGTTCAAGCACAATTGTAAATACTATTTTGGTATTCTAACAAAGTATAACTTGTAAAGGTACATCTCTTTATACAATACAAACGTATATCTAAACAAAAAACCATCATTTTATATTCGCATAATTGTAAACAAAATAAGTCAGACCAAACGATGTAGCATTTTGTAGCGTTAGTTCCCGCATTAGTAGACCTCCAAATGCCCCCCAATGTAACAAAAACTCGGCAGCTTTGTCTTTGAATACCTCTTGATCGCTATCACTTGGCTGAAAAATACAAATTTCATTTTTAGTGAAACGACTTCTAGTTAATGTCTACTGAGTTTGTTCAAATAAAAGCACTGGGGTTAATACTGGCCCCACCTCAGGTGGTCTTTAAAAAAAACTGATTCTATTATACTACACAGGTTGCAGCTTAGATATTTGATATGAAACATTGTCTAGTAGACCTTTACCAATTTTGTTTAAATTATTTTGTTTAAGTTATAGCCCTTGGGTAAAAATTGGCTTCACCCCAGGGGTCACTTAGTTCACATAGACTTATATAGGAAATACATAAATACTAAATGCTTTGTAACAGCGCACTTTGGGGTCCAACGCATTTTGGGGTCCAATTTTGACCCCAAAGTGAGTTAAACAGGTACATATGCATTTTTTAATATCAGACAAACGACCGCACTTTGGGGTCATAAAAGTTCAATCAATAAAAATGAATTCTCATGATGTTTTAAAGTCAAAGCCAATGATAAACAAAATTCAAGGTATCAAATAGACGAATTCCATAAAATCGGATAACAACAGCAGATTATAGTTAATTTTATTCTGTTATATCTAACGGTTACAATTGATTATATCTAAATATTCAATTATGTGCCCTGAATTATAGTAGAATCAATAGGAATTTTAAATGATATTGTTCAGTAAGTGAAGAACTTTCATCAAATAAAGAATTTGTATCAAAATATTTTTTCTCACATTTTCGATTTTTTGTAAGAATGTACATATTTCATGAACTCCTTTGTTTTTAGCTCATTGCATACTTTCCCCGCTTTTTTGTTGACACATTTTATAGAAAAATGATAGTCTTAGCATAGACAAAGGTATCAATTCTGGGCGATCTTAATAAGACACTTCAGTAAAAAGTGTGCCTAATTATACTGTATGTTAAAGGGGCCATTTATTTACCTTATCTAAATGTGACATGTAAGAAATTTGTCTAGGTGTAGATGCGGCCTTAAACAGTAGTCGTACACAGCAGTACTAAAAAATATCATTTACTATTTAAGTAGTCACACATTAAAAGCGGAACTTTATAATAATGTAAAGTTCTCACTTTTTAAACGTTTTTAAGGCCCATTATGCTTTTAGTTGTATTTCTCAAAAGCTTTTTAAATTTTGGTGTACTTAGTAGTATCCAAAACGTTAATGATTGACAAATTACCTGAACCATCCTTTTCATCTGTTGCTTTTTGGCAATAAGTACAGTTATAGTGAATTAGTATTTTATATAAAAGTCAATACCTCATTGTTCACATTTTGCTACATTTATGACTAATTATTTCACATTTGTGGCTACTATTCATGTAAGAAGCATCTTACATTTCTCTGATACCATTATTTAAACATTATAAAATTCATGTTTGCCCTTTCTAAAGACGTAACTTTTTATATGTTTCTGAGGCATACAATGCCTTTAAGTGAAAATAAAAATTGACTATCACCCCTGAAAAATCAAGGCGGACACCCTCTGTAATATGATTTCCCTTTTTAAAAAAGCCTCAGGCGAACTACCGGCATTCGACCCCGGATGGAATAAAATATTTAATATTACCGGGATGATCCGGGAAGTATAGCTTTGCCGGCTTCATCCTTAGCCGGGGTTACACCGGGGAAGCACCGTAGCTCTGCCGGGGTGATCCGGGATAATCCGGGGTATGATATAGCAGGTAGAGCCTGGGTGCATGCTGGCATAGCCCCGGTGAATGCTGGCAGAGCCCCAGAGGATGCCGGCAGAGCCCCGGAGGATGACGATGGAGCTACGGTTGATCCCGGTAGAGCCCCGGCAAAGCCCGGTTCATTTCAAAAGAATCACGACAATTTGCGATGATTGCCCTTGTTTCTATTAAAACCCTTCCCATTTCCCTTCTATCCAGTCTTGCATAAGGATTTTTCAGAAAATCATCATGAATTACTATTCTGAAACAATAGATATTATATTAAACAAGATATGTTTGTAAAACATGTATGCCCCCTGTCGGCAGCCAATTAGTCATGCGATCAGGTCATTATGCATGACTTCTGACCCAGTGAACAAACAATTAATAAGGGTTATCTAGTATCTACTGGTCATGACTAGTCACAACGTAATAATTATTGTGACCCTTTAGGTTGTGTGCAGCAATTTAAGTTATTACAAATCTTACCAAATAATATATGCATAAATTTTATGAATCATGTAGGCCTCATTAATGACAGCCAAGTTGTTATATTACATAAGACCTTCAAATGTGTATACCAAAAGCATTTTTAGTTTAATATAAAAATATCAACCAAGGCAACTTTAGTAGTTGAGTGAGTAGTTGAGTTATTGGTCAGAAACTGTCATTAAGTACAAGGTCAATATTCTAGGCCTAAGCGTTCTTTAGTTATTGATCGGAAACCGTTTTTACCTACAAGGTCAATGTGACCTTGACCTTGGACCCCTTGACCCCAAAATCAATAGGGGTCATCTGCTGGCAATGACCTATCATCATACCAAGTATGAAGTTTCTAGGCCTAAGTGTTCTCTAGTTATTGATCGGAAACCGTTTTTACCTACAAGGTCAATGTGACCTTGACCTTTGACCCCTTGACCCAATATCAATAGGGGTCATCTGCTGGTCATGACCAATCACCATACCAAGTTTGAAGTTCCTAGGCCTAAGGGTTCTTTAGTTATTGATCAGAAACTGTTTTTACTTACAAGGTCAATGTGACCTTGACCTTTGACCCCTTGACCAAAAACTCAATAGGGGTCATCTGCTGGTCACGCCCAATCATCATACAAAGTTTGAAGTTCCTAGGCCTATTCGTTTTTAGTTAATTGATCGGAACCCGTTTTTATCTATAAGGTCAATGTGACCTTGACCTTTGACGCCAAAATCAATAGGGGTCATCTGCTGGTCATGACCAATCACCATACCAAGTTTTAAGTTCCTAGGCCTAAGGGTTTCTTAAGTTATTGATCGGAAACCGTTTTTTTTACCTACAAGGTCAATGTGACCTTGACCTTTTGACCCCAAAATCAATAGGGGTCATCTGCTGGTCATGACCAATCACCATACCAAGTTTGAAGTTCCTAGGCCTAAGGGTTCTTAAGTTATTGATCGGAAACCGTTTTTACCTACAAGGTCAATGTGACCTTGACCTTTGACCCCTTGACCCCAAAATCAATAGGGGTCATCTACTGATCATGACCAATCACCATACCAAGTTTGAAGTTCCTAGGCCTAAGGGTTCTTAAGTTATTGATCGGAAACCGTTTTTGCTTACAACGTCAACGTGACCTTGACCTTTGACCCCTTGACCCAAAATCAATAGGGGTCATCTACTGATCATGACCAATCACCATACCAAGTTTGAAGTTCCTAGGCCTAAGGGTTCTTTAGTTATCACTCGGAAACCATTTGGTCTACGGACCGACAAGTGCAAAGCAATATACCCCCTCTTCTTCGAAGTGGGGGCATAATAAAATTTATGTATCAATGTAATCATTTTCGCGCGTTTTGAATCCACCGGGGTTCTACCGGGGCTCTGCCTGGATCGTCTTGGGCTCTGCCGGGGCTCTACCTGGATCGACCCGGGCTCTGCCTGGGTCAACCGGGGCTCTTCCGGCGTCATCCGGAAACGACGGGGGAAGCACCGGCATGAACCGTAGCTTCACCTGGGCTCTGCCTTGATGATCCGAGCGCATCCTGGGTGGTTATTTGAAAATTACCGTAGTGATGCCTGGGTTAGTGTGATCACAACAATAATTTCACCCCGGATCGTCCCGGATCATCCCGGTAATTTATCAGGATGGTCCTGGGCTCTGCCGGGAGTAAGTGAGACCGCAGCTTAATATTGTGTTATTCTTATAGATATACATGCTTATATTCAGCTCCATGATTATTTACTTCAGTGTCACTGTCACAGGTGTACAAATTTACCTATATCATCCCTAAATCCCAAATATACTAATACTCTAAATTTTAGCAGTATGCCGTAACATTGTAAATCGACTACTCAACGTGATTTACAATAACACTATATTTCACCTTTCCCTTTACTATTCCTTTGTTATTTAAATGATTTTCTATGACGTATATAAGTTTGACCAATAGGGTCAATTAAACAATATATTTTTGAAAGAAAATAAGATTGAACTATGAACGTTTGGTTTATATAACCTTAACTTAAATCATTTAAATTAATTACATGTGTATAATAACAAGAGGGCCATGATGGTCCTAGATCGCTCACCTGACTTATCAAACTCATCCAAACAATTACCTAGACAAGCATTCTGACCAAGTCTCATGACAGGTGAGTCAAAAATGTGACCACTACAGTGTTAACAAGGATTATCCATATTTGAGCAGTGCGACCTAGTTTTTTACCCAGGTGACACATATTCAAACTTGACCTAGAAATCATCAAAACAAACTTTCAAACCAATTTCCAGGATACTTGGATCAAAACAGTAGCAACTAGAGTGTTAACAAGATTTTTCTATTTTTAGCTCCGGTGACCTAGTTTCACGTGCGATTTCGAACTCATCCAAGCAATTGCCTAGACAAGCATCCTGACCAAGTTTGATGATAATTGAGTCGAAAATGTGACCACTAGAATGTTAACAAGGTTTTTCCATATTTGGGCGGTGTGACCTAGTTTTTCATCAAAGATGACCCATGTTCGATCTTGACTTAGAAATCATCAAAACAAACTTTCAGACCAATTAACAGAATATTTGGATCACAACAGTAGCCACTAGAGTGTTAACAAGATTTTTCTATTTTTAGCTCATGTGACCTAGTTTTTCATCCGAGATGACCCATGTTCGATTTATTCCCAGCAATGACCTAGACAAGTTTCCTGACCAAGTTTGATGACAATTGAGTCAAAATTGTGACCACTAGAGTGTTAACAAGGTTTTTCTATTTTTAGCTCCGGTGACCTACTTTTTCATCCGAGATGACCCATGTTCAAACTCATCCGAGCTATCACCTAGACAAGCATCTAGATCAAGTTTGATGATGATTGATGCAAAATGTGACCGCTAGAGTGTTAACAAGGTTTTTCTATTTTTAGCTCCGGTGACCTACTTTTTCATCCGAGATGACCCATGTTCAAAATCATCCGAGCTATCAACTAGATAAGCATCCTGACCAAGTTTGATGATGATTGATGCAAAAATGTGACCGCTAGAGTGTTAACAATGTTTTTCTATTTTTAGCTCCGGTGACCTACTTTTTCATCCGAGATGACTCATGTTCGAACTCATCCGAGCTTTCACCTAGACAAGCATCTTGACCAAGTTTGATGATGACTGATGCAAAAATGTGACCGCTAGAGTGTTAACAAGGTTTTTCTATTTTTAGCTCCGGTGACCTACTTTTTCATCCGAGATGACCCATGTTCGAACTCATCCGAGCTATCACCTAGACAAGCATCTTGACCAAGTTTGATGATGATTAATGCAAAAATGTGACCGCTAGAGTGTTAACAAGGTTTTTCTATTTTTAGCTCCGGTGACCTTCTTTTTCATCCGAGATGATCCATGTTCGAACACATCCGAGCTATCACCTAGACAAGCATCTTGACCAAGTTTGATGATGGTTAATGCAAAAATGTGACCGCTAGAGTGTTAACAAGGTTTTTCTATTTTTGGCTCCGGTGACCTACTTTTTCATCCGAGATGACCCATGTTCAAATTCATCCGAGCTATCAACTAGATAAGCATCCTGACCAAGTTTGATGATGATTGATGCAAAAATGTGACCGCTAGAGTGTTAACAAGGTTTTTCTATTTTTAGCTCCGGTGACCTACTTTTTCATCCGAGATGACCCATGTTCGAACTCATCCGAGCTATCACCTAGACAAACATCCTGACCAAGTTTGATGATGATTCAGGCAAAAATATGACCGCTAGAGTGTTAACAACTAAATGTGAACGGACGACGGACGACGGACGGACGACGGACGACGGACAATCATCGATCCTAAAAGCTCACCCTGAGCATGCTCAGGTGAGCTAAAAAGAATTTATATCTCTACAGGTAATTCTCTTCATATGTTGCATTTGTAAATTGCTTACATCTAATGATAATAGACTTATATTATTTGAGTTCTAAGATCATTTCTTAGAATATATTTTTCTTTGTGTAATATGATGTCGGCCATTTTGTATATGTATGTTTACATTATTTAAATGCAATATAATAAAACAATATATTTTTGAAAGAAAATAAGATTGAACTATGTACGTTTGGTTTATATAACCTTAACTTAAATCATTTAAATTAATTACATGTGTATAATAAAGGAATATATTTTGCTACAGCCGGAAGTTGTTTATCGAATAAGGGTATTCTTCAGACTGTTATCTTATAACTCCCCGTGGTCGAGGGTATTACACGCTCGCTTAAAAAGCGAGAGGTCCGAAGTTCAAATCCCAGTTCAGGCAACTCGTGTTTTGTTGTTGTTTTTTTTTAATAGATTAAGCCAAATAAACATTGAATTGAATATCAGTGTTGCAATTAGTCTTATAGCCAATTTACTATAGTTATAACAATGGTAACAGAATTTGGTGACACTTTACAAACAAATTGGTTTATAATCTCACAACCTTCACATTTCTGACATTCTGAGACCCAAACAAATTCAGCGCCTTCTGTGCTTTGATTAGATACTGCAAGTGATAAGATTAATAAAACACTTATCACTTAAGCATCAATTATATCTTTCTTATTATTGCTACATCAGAATTTAAATTACACTTAGTAAGATTTATATATATAAGTATCAACCGTTGTCTTAAAATTCGCCACAAATATTTCAGTGCCGCAGATCGAAGATAAGTCAGTACTCAGTATTTAAGCAGAACTCAGTTGACACCTGGAACTCTGGAACCCAAAGTGCGTTAATATGTAACATATCAACGCACTTTGGGGTCAATTTCTCGATTTTGACCGCAAAGTGCGTTGGACACCAAAGTGCGATGTGAAGAGTAACGCACTTTGGGGTCATACCCCAAAGTGCGTTGGACCCAAAAGTGCGGTGTTACAATGCTTTAAATTGTTCCTTGTCATGGAGAGTATTAGATCTTATATTCTGATGAGTGATATTAAGGCCATCATGCATGGCCCCCATGTCTGTATAAAATAAGAGAAAAGTTCATGTTAATTTAAAAACAACAGAGACATTTCTGAAATGTTTGGAAGCCAGCATTATAAAATAATATTATCAATTTTAAATGTGATGATAAGCAATGTAAATAAGTTACCTTAATTACACATTTTTCGACGATGTCATCAATCCATTCAGTATAATTTTCAATACAAGATTGTTTACTCAGCAATTCTTTCAGTTCATCATAAACTACATAAAAATGAAAACGAAAATCATTTTAAAATATGTTTTTAAAATAAGTGAATGATGATTTTACACAATAATTCATCTGTGTATAATTATTTTAGAAGCAACTGATATTAGCTATAAATGTATAATTTTATTATTACTTTGTGCTCTTCGGAGTTGTTATAAATTATGTAAGAAATATGATTTCAATGAATAAAACTGAATCATTTGACGCTTAGAAAGAGGAAAACTGCTACTTACAATCTTGCATTTTCATGCAAAATTTCGGGTTTGCCGAATGTTCCATGAATCCTGCCTGGCTGCAGATATCTTCAAAATCTACACTTGAGATGTCTTTGACCATTTGTGTCACAATGTCTTGGTTCATAATAACAACTCGTGCTGTCTATAATAAATAAATTTGTGATAAATGATATGCATGTGTATTCACCTCTGTAAATCATGACAATTTTTAGTCCCCTACCGGTTTTACCGGAGGGTACTTTAGGTTTACCCTCCGTCCGTCTGTCTGTCTGTCCGTCCGTCAGTCGTCGTCCGCAAATTGGATCCGGCGATAACGCAAAAAGTACTGAAAATAGATGGCAATCTGAAAATTATGTACGTCTTTTTCTTTTCTTCCTATGTTAAAAAAGTGGTTGCTATGGCAACAAATACGCTTAAAATATGACAAATATAACCACATTTGTCATTAATCAAAAAGTAGTGAAAACATTTTTATGAAACTAAAAATATGTATCTGATTATCAAGCTCATCATATGTGACAAGGTTTACAACTCTAGCACAAAAAAATCAGAAATACTCCGATGAATCTAGAATTTTCATGAAAAAAATGATGATTTTTTTATAACTTCTTTATTTCATAATGTATCTACTATAAACTTCATATATATGTGTGTTATATTTACTCAAGTCATTTGGGAGAGGGTTCAATACTTTAGCTCGACTATTTCCAGAATTATGTCTCCCTTGAACTCAGATTTTTTTTCTAGAAATTATTATATTTTATTCAAACTTCTTCATTTCTTATAGCATTGCCTTCAAACTTCCACATCATATTAATATGACAAGGGTTATAAATCTAGCGTCCATATTTCCTGAATTATTTCCTCCAGAAACTTTGAATTTTTCTTACTCATTCTTTAACCTTTTTATTTCTACATGGATTTATTTCAAATTCAAAAAAGACATTCATTATCAAGACCTACTTCATAGATAGATAGATAAGCTTTATTCATACAAAGGCAATATGCCCAATATGACACGTCTACCTTGCTCTTTTACACATGTAAATTTACCCAGATTTTTATCAGCGCCTTTTTCCCGTTTAAAAATTTCAAAAAAGTCCCTTTAAAAAAAAATAATAAAAAGTTTGCTGTTTTTACTTTTCTTTTTAACTTGCTTATTTGTTTTCTTTTAAACAAAAATAGATTAATTTGTAAAAATTCAAAATGCCTTTGTAAAAAAAGCAATAATTTTAATTTTCAAAAAAAACATTATATTTTGGGTACTTTTTAAAAAAAGGGGTAAGAAAAAAAAGCCTTGCATTTGTATTACCAAAAACAATAAGCGTTTATGTTAAAAAAAAATTTTTACCCCTTAAATTCAAAATTTAATGGGGTAAAAGGAAGGAAAAACCAACCTAAGAACCCAAAAGGGTTTAATGACACGGGGGTCAATCTGTATGAAAATACAAAACCCTTGATTAGAAGTTTTCCCCTGCGAAAACTGAAAACAAAAAATTTCCTCCTACCATTTGACCATTAATCGTCGAAAATTTTAACTAAGTTGGCAAACAGGAAGTGGATGGGCGACAGACCTGAAAATCAAATCCCACCGGTATGGAAACCATGTGTTGATACTGTATACCAAATATCAAGAGGCTGTGATAAGTAGTTGCTGAGAAAACCGTTACGAAAATTTCCTACCATTGACCATTAATGTTGAAAATTTAACTAAATCGATAAACAGAAAGTGGATGAGCGACAGACCTGAAATTGAATCCCACGGTATGGGACCACGCGTCAATGCTGTATGCCAAATATCAAGAGGCTGTGATACGTACTTGCTATGAGAACTGTTACGAAAATTTCCTACCATTGACCATTAATGTCGAAAATTTAACTAAGTTGGCAAACAAGAAGTGGATGGGCGACAGACATGAAATCAAATCCCACGGTATGGGACCATGTGTTGATGCTGTATACCAAATATCAAGAGGCTGTGATAAGTAGTTGCTGAGAAAACTGTTACGAAAATTTCCTATCATTGACCATTAATGTTGAAAATTTAACTAAGTCGATAAACAGAAAGTGGATGAGCGACAGACCTGAAATTGAATCCCACGGTATGGGACCACGTGTCAATGCTGTATGCCAAATATCAAGGGGCTGTGATAAGTAGTTTCTGAGAAAACTGTTACAAAAGTTTTTCCCCGCCTGCCTCCCGCCGCCCGACATTCACCATACTATAACCCGGGTTTGCACTTGTGCAACCCGGCCAAAAAAAACCTCAATAATTAAAATAATAGATGGACTATCTTTTAATTCTTATGCTCTGTTGGAAAGTGGTATAATTATATTGAATTAGTATTTTGTATGGAAGTCAAAATACTACTTTGTTTACGTTTTTCCAACTTTAAGGCACATAACGGAATATTCATCGTTCCTTTCTTTACTTGCTAAACATCTAATATGCTTTAAAATTACTGAAACATTATCAAACATGTGCTTGACATTTCTTAAGAATAAAAATATGTATTTCTGAGGGATAATGTGCCTTTAATAAAAAACTCATTTCGACATAATCTGGCTTCTCTCCAACGCTTGCATTGAAACCTGCAGCAATAAGGAAATGACATTTACAGTCATAAACATTTTCAAAATGGTACAAGTCATCAGAGATTATTTCAAATATACATATAGGTAAATTGTAGCATAAACACAAAATACATCATAATCTAAATTAAACAATTTACCATCTAATTGTAACCAAATAATACACTCTCTCTACAACAAACACTGCGTTTTATCTTTTCAGAGATGTATACAATTACACCCCCACTGTCTCTCTTTGCACCTTTTTTACTTTTTCTATTTACAACTATCTACTTCATAACTATATAAATCATTTAACCAACTTTCAGTAAATAACAAAATGTCATGCTTTTTGAATAAAAGTTTCATCTTATCAGTGTCAAATTTATTATATCTTAAACCAAGCAGCCCCTGACAATTAAGTAAACACATATTTACACCCATGTTCCCATCAGTCCGATTAACCTCGGAAACAATACGGATTGAAAGTAGTTCTACCACGTGATATCAGATGTAAACAGAAACAGAGATAATGCAAAACGAATGTATAAATTTGACGGTACACTTCTGATTGAAAATATGTCTGACAACAATTTGTAATTTAAATATGCTCACTGATGTACAATTTTAAACAAATCCGACTAAATGTCAACAGGTTGGTTTCTTGTCCTTTCGGTTTCTACAACCATAATAATCAAAGTGCTGAATGCACTGAATGCGACGGCAACATGCAAAACCGGAGAGAGACATTAAGGCCTTTTCAGAAAAAAAAAAAAACTAAACAAACACATACACAAAAGATATAACAGAGACTATTTGTTCCATACAAGTTCGAGATTTTAGAACAATCTACTTTAGGTGTTGTGCCCCAATCTGATATCATTCAAATTTTCTAACTTTTTTTAAGCAGAACACGTTCCTTTTTAAAAAACAGAATGAAATTTTACCTCCAAAACTGGTCAAACTTGTTAACTCAGTGTCCCTATCGATTTATTTGTAAAAAGAAAAAAACTGTCAACGAAATATTTCTAAAATAAAAACCATGCAAATAAACTTCAAGCAGAAATACATAACGATGCGAGAATGTTAATAGAATTGCTTCGTGTTATATCATAGTTGGCATATAGACAATAAAATGTAAGTCGCATTAGTATTTTTATTTCTCTTGGATATGTCTCATTAAAACTTTTTTTTTGGTTAAAAAACCGATCAGCAATTTAAAGGGTATTTTTTTAATTTATTTCATTTTGAGGGAAAGAGTAGAGGCCAAGGGACATCGTTTTACATTTTTTAATTTTTAATGTCATTTAACACACAGTTTATGTCCTTTCAATTTTCCACTAAATTCCCCTTTTTAACTTTTTACAATTTTTAAAAATTTTTTAAAATATTTCCCTGTAAACAAAGTAAGTATCCGCGATTTATTACATGTATATTTTACTACCTAACGCTTGCGAAAGTCAGCACAGGTGATGTAAACGTGATAAAATCTATTTTGAATATTTATCCCAGACGAAGCTTTAAATCTCCAAATACATTAGCGGGGTTTCTCATATCGTGACCTAGAAAAATATGTTATTAATGCCGGATTTCTAGAATGCTGATTTTCGAAAAACTTTTTTATCTGTTAAAAAAAATATTTTGTTTAATGGAGAAAATTTTTTTCCTACTTTTTAATTTTTAGAAAATTATTTATTTTCTCCAATTATACATAATTGCTGTCCTACTTTTCGACAGCGGTAAATCTTCGGGAGTTATTTTCATATTGCCAATAATAATACGGGGGACATCGTTTTATTTTAATAAATCGTTCATATTTAACTTGATAACTAATTTGAAAAAAAAAGGCTAAAATTGGGAATTTTTAAGATATCCCCCCCAAAATTTGGGAAATTTCATGGATCAAATTCATTACTATTCTTGGGGTGTTTTTCGGGTTTAGGACACTCGTTGATGAGCCCATGAAAAACCCCTGGTAGAGACATAGCTCGAACGCGCCCAGGGGGGTCCGTCGCAATAAATATAGAAATAATGTATTGTTTGCTTTTTAGCTATAATTTACTTATTTCAGGGGGATTTTACAAAATATTTGAATAAAATTGTCAAAACTTCTACATTAAATTACATTTTTTTCATGATTTTTTCTTAGCGTAGGGTTAACCAAAACCGCATCCGTTTTTGTTATTCATACTAGGTTTCGAGTCGTCTTACCCATTTGGGGACCCCTTGAAAGTTTTTTTACCTCAGTTTCATTCGAGACCCCTTCTTTTCCCCCCATAGAAATTTGATTCGCTCCCAATTTTAACACCCAAATGAAAACTACACTAGCCACTTGGAAAAAATATTTTGACCAGTAGTTAGTGCCCCAATCCCAATAGTGGGGGCTGACCTGAACCGGAATGAGCGCAGGGCATCGCAGTTTCCTGCCCCTTTAATCTGGGCTTTTTGCAGGGGAGCATAAAGCTTTGAGATTTTTTCTGATCACAAACCATTTGTAACTACTTTGTACATTCCCATTTACCATTATAGTTTTTTAGGGCATGGCGAACTGGAGAATTTCGACAAGCAACT